CAAGTAATAAAAGTCTGATGATAAATTTGCAACACTGTATTTCAGTGGTTCATGCAACAAATGGAAAGGTATATATATTTATGGCCACTATGTTAAGAGAATGGCAGGTAAGGTCTGACATAAAGGCATGACAAAGGTTTAAGAACCTAAAACTAAAATTTGTCTCATCATGTTAGAGACATTGACAAGTCTCTGGAAATATATCAGCCTCACATCATCTTGATGTTTATTCTGACATTCAAGAAAACAACTACCAACAACCAATTTTTGTTTTTAATCACCATCTTGGTGGCTAAAAGAAAATGTTTTCAGCCAACTTGTAGACAAAGGCTATGCAAAAAGTTTCACACCTCGCGGAAGATATGACTACGTTGTTACTTTAGTTCTAATCAGCCAATTTGCTCTAGTGTGGCTAAACTAGTATGGTTCCACTTTATATCCAGCATCTGTTCTGATTACTGGTGCCTTCATTCTAGTCGTTGAACATTTTAAATGTCATCCCTCGTCTAATATCACACATGAATAGACGTGGCCTGATCAATACTTCTAGGTGTGGTTAAGACCAAGTTTGTGAAAACATATGGTGAACCTAGAACTGAGCATGCCTGTGACACTTGAACATGTCCATGACAGTGTTATCAAGTTACTGGTTGATTCTGGCAACTCTAACCAAATGTGTGTGATTCTGAAAGAAGTAGTCTCAAATACTGAAGGAAGTATTTTTTCTCAGGTATTACTCAGAATAAAAGAACTGCAGAGACAAGTCTCTGCAGACTCTCTAGCCAAGTCTCCTGTCTGTTGCAGAAATCTCCTCCACAGTGTGTTTATCCAGTAAATCTTTGCTTGAACACTTACAGTAATAAGAATTTCTCTTTTTCTTGGAATATCTCAATCTACTATTTTCAATGAACATAGAAAGGATCCTCCTACTGAAATGACAGATCAGTATATGGCTCCTCCTCTTTCTATTCCTTAAAAACGCAATTTTCAAAATCAGCTCTCACTTTTTTCTACACTTCCTCTTTCACAGAGCTTTCCTTCACTCTTGAGATTCAAGAGTTATTTTACAGTTGACCTTGAGCATGATCTCTCCTCATTTTTCGTCTGGTATTCCTAGCCACCTCTGTGCGTGTGTGTGCTCAGTCACTAAGTTGTGTCCGACTCTTTGAGACCCTATGGACTGCAGTCCACCAGGCTCCTCTGTCCACGGGATCTCCCAGGCAAGAATACTGGAATGAGTTGCCATTTCTTTCTCCAGGGAATCTTTCCGACTCAGGGATCAAACCCACATCTCTTGCATTGCTGGCAGATTCTTTACCACTGAGCCACCTGGGAAGTCCAACTTAACCTCTAAGATATGTGATTTTTACATTTAAAAAAGACCTAACACTCAATAAACTTCAATTTCTTTAAAATCCCTTCCCATGCTATCTCTGCTGTGTATTTCTTTTTTAAAAACTCAGTATTATTATTGTTTTCATATAACTTGTGTTTTAATTTAGTCCCTTTGTATTTTTATTGTTCTCATTTTCCTTTGCATCTCAAATAATTAGATATTTTAGAACTTCCTTTAGAGAAGGACTTTTAGAAACGGTCCAGTAACATCAATTCTCTTTGTTGTCTAGAAACACCTTAATTTTGCCTTCTTTCTTGAAAAATATTTTTGCTGGATATGATAGTTATTTTCTCTCAGAATATCTTAGGTATCCTTCTACTGTCCCTGGCTTCCTCTGCTGCTTTGAAAAGTCAGCTGTTGAACTCCTTTGAAGACAATGTCTTTTTTTTTTTTTTCTGACTTTTTAAGATCTTTGGCTATGAAATATGTCTGCAATGTATGGATTAAAAAAAAAAAAAATCCTGCCAGATCCTTCTTGGGCCTGTGTTTTTTCTCTTTCCTCTACTATTCCAATTGGAACACTCATATCCTCTGTCCCTTAAATCTCTTTTAGCCTATCCCACTGTGCTGCTTTTTCATATAGCTTCTTTAGTCCTATCTTCCAATTCATTAATTGTTTTTTATACTTCCCTGAACATCATCTCCTATACTCAGTTCATCATAACAAATCCTGAATGATGGACTCTTACCTTGAAACCTCTGATTTATTCCCAAATATTTGACTCTATTGCTATCATCCTATTTGTGGGCCATATTTGTTTTTAGCTAAGTTAGAGAAATTTGGGGGATCTAAAACTTAGCTTGCACATATCTAAGACTTCTAAAATATTGGACTTACTTGTTATGTTGATCTCTTATCACAGAATCTTTATCATCTCCTTCTACTTAATAATGACTGAGCCCCCAAAATATAGTTTTTCGAGGATTTGGTCCCACTTTACCTATCCAAGCAGATTCTCAGCCCTAAATAGGCCTACTTTCTTTTTACCCCCCTGTACAAGCCATGTGCACGTTTGCTAACATGCTTTTGATACAGTCTCCTAACCCAAATTATATAAATCCTTTCAGGCCTCTCTTTTGCAGTTTCTCCTGATAACTCCCAGCATGCTCTGTCTGCTTTCCCATTTCCTTGAGCCCTTGTGTGTTCAGTACATATTTTAATTATCTTGACTCAATGAGATATAATTCTTTAGTATTTGAAGTTGAGCTATATATAGCTTAACCATAATTCTAACCTAAGTCTGATACAGTTTTTATATAATTTTACTTATTTTTGGCCAAGCCATGTGGCTATGTGGGATCTTAGTTCCCCAACCAGGGATGAAACCCATGCTCCCTGCAGAGGAAGCAATGGAGTCCTAATCACTGGATGCCCAGGGAATTCCCCAAAGTTTGCTTTCTTTCTAACACAATACAATTGCCTCTCATGATTCAATAAATATTTGTTGACTTGTGTAAAAAAGAAACCAGATGTTGCAAAATTACATATGAAAATGCTTTACATTTAACTAGCTTAGCTTAGCTTAGCTGGAACAAAGTAATCTTAAATGGCATTAAAATTTTGAAACTTTATCATTTAATAAATTTCCCAGGAAATCTCCTCAAAGAGGATTCTGCAGCAGTTTATCAGTAAAGATAAACATTAGCTCTTTCGAAAATGACCACTCATTCTCTGACTCTCTAGTCAAATCACACAACCCCATCCTTTACAGTAAATGTTAACCCCTAAAATTGTAAACCTGAAGTAACAGCTTACATATTTGGAAGTTCACTTCCAGGGGCCACTCCAGTGTTAAGGAAAAGCTACTAAAAACCTAGTTTTAGGTTTTATAAACTATTCTCATGTTGATAAACAACTGATCCAGTTAAAATAGGTTGCACTACACCAAAGTTACCCACTTCACTTTATAACAAATAGCCACTAGGTTTACACTAGAGTTTAACAATCTAATGAGAGTGACTGTTATTTGGGGTTATAATATGGAACCTTCTTTCCATGTTTAAGTGTTCTTGCCTCTCTTTTTATTTCTAAATAACATATAAAATATCAAATTGAATCTCAAATTATCTTGATAATCCATACAGTTTTTTACATATGTAAACATAATATTATATATATATAACATATATATACTTTACATATATATATTACATATATATTTTATTTTTATATATATGTGAAAGAACCATCTTGACATGTAAATTTTTGGAAGATATTAACAGTTGCTTAACTCTAGGCCAAATAAGGGAGGAGAGACTGAAGAAGAGAAACTACTCTTAGTATTTCTCTCATAGGACAGTGATTATCTCTCTTTCTTACCTTTCCTGTCCCGTCCTTCATCAACACATACTGGCAGACTTCCTAGGTCAATGCAGAAATCCAGACAAGAGAAGGAAGCACACTAAAATAGTGGAGGACAGGCTACAGGAGATGGACAGTGTCAGTGTCATGGACATCATGTGGGAGAAAAGAAGGAATCGTCACAGTTAGTCACTTTGTTCAAGAGAAACTAAAACAGTTACTTCAATGATAGAGAGAAAAGAATAAAAAAGAAAGATCTTTTACTTCTTTGTAGAAAGGCTCTTTCCAATAAGAACAGAGAAGAACTGCACTTAATTTGGAAATTCGTCTTCAGAGAAACAGATAAAACTTAGCAATAGTATAAAGGAATGAAAGATAAGTAAGATTTTTTTTGATTCAAAAATATTGAGAAATTATTTATAGGCTTTGAGAAAAGAAAAAATAAATCAGAACTATAATCTAGAAACAGTGAAGAGGTTGTTCTATTTTTCTTCTCCAAGAGAATGTAGACTATTAAAACAATAGGAATCCCAATGTTTATATATAAAAATGATGAATGAGTAATATGGACTTGTATGCTTAATTATATACAGCTTTGTACTATGAAAAAAACATATTGTCATATTTAACAATGGAGTTCTAGAAACTGACCAAATTTTAATATCAGTGAGGAGTTTTTATTTAACATCAGGGACAATCTTTTGTACACACTTACTTGACATGAAATACTTTCTAGACCTCTGCCCCTCCTCAACCTGTGTCCCCACGCCCCACCCAATCTATCAATAAGTACTACAGTGCTTGAAACACCACTGCTAGGAAGAGTCCCTTGAGATTTAATACAGCCTTAGAAATTTAGTATGTACCTCTCCCCTCCAATGTACAATGCTAGGAAATTGTGAAGTTACTCACGCTAGCAACGTGATTGTTTCTTCCAATTAGGAGTAGTTCATAAAGGTGGATACCTGGATGAATCAAGGTATAGGAGAAGGGGCAAAAGAGGATATGGAACCTAAGAAAAACCATTTTACAACCTAGGATACAACCAGTAGCTGTATTATGAAAACATAGGTTAAAGCTTCTGTATGTGTGATTTAGGCATTTCTTTCAAATTAATGCTTAACTGCAACAGGTTAAAGTCATAACATTTCTAAACAAAGTAAATGACATTTTTCTCAAGACTATCTTTTCTGTAAAGTAAAAGGTAATTTATTTAACAATAAATTCATTTTTAAAATTTGAGTGATTCTATCAATTCTGATAACATCTGATTCGTTTATCCAAATTTGTTAAAATGCATACCTCATATTCTTTTCTGCAAACTCTGGAAATATCATTTTTTGATGATGCCTAAAAGATAACACATTTCTCAATTAATTTATTACACATGCTCTTCAGTATGAAACCAAAAAGAATACAAACATAAGAATATGTAATTGCTGGCACAGCAGTCTTTACTTCATCAAGGAAAACCTCATGCTCAAATATTATGCAAACAAATCTTATATAATTTTTAAAAACAAGCATGAGCTCCAGATATGCTAGAATTTCACTCTTCTATGGCTTTAATCTCACATAATGACACAGTCCTTTTATTATTTCAGAAACTAGATAAGTTTGAAGGAAATGTAAATCAGAGGACTTTTAAAAAAAAATCTAAATTCCATTCTGTAGCAAATTTTCTTGTGAAGCTCTGCTGTAGTGAATTTTCTTATGAAGTTCTGCCAGGGCATTTATAGTTTGCTTTTTCTTTAACCCTTCATATTCTAAGTTCCCGTATTAAACAATATTCTCAGAAAAAATCCATACCTAACAGAGGAGACAACTAAAGAGGGAAAGGCAATGCCAGGCAATTAATTAATAAAAGCTACTTTTATGTAATTTTCTTAACAAGTTTATGAAGAAGAAATTAACCCTTCTACAGATGAGGAAACGGACACACAGAGAAACAACGTTATTTACTAAAGTATATACTTTCCATAAGAAACAAGCCAAAACACATCTGCTGAGGGTTGGCTGTTCTTCCATATGATAACAGTCCCACTTAGAAATACAGTCCCAGAGGCATGGGCTCTGTGGTTCCTTTTTCTATTTCCTCCTCTTCTATTACCTAGGCTTACTCAATTCTTAATAGATCAGCTGACGAGGACAGGGAGAGCGAGAAGCAGAATGGACTGGCAACTATTCTGTGTCCCACGAGATACATGACAGTTCAAATCCTCTACAACTCAGTTTCACCTCAATGCCTGCGGTAGAACAGCAGATAGTTAGGCTGTGTGTTGCCCAAAGAGTGTGGTTCAGTGGTCTGTATGAAAGTGAAGGTGTCTCATATACTCCTGCTCAAAGACCAGTCCCTAGAAGAAAATAAGACAAGGCTTCGCAGCTGCAGTTTCAGGGCCACTTGAGTTTCCCAGGTAAGAGTGCTCCCACCACTTGGAGTAAGAGGAGCCCGGAGACCAGTGTTACCACAGCACTCGGACGAATCACTATGAGCATATAGTGAGGAAGAGTTCAGGGTCTAACTTGATCCAGACCTGAGATACATTAAGCCAGAGAAAAGTCATAACTCACTGCAGGAGTCATGCTCACCTGAGGAGCAGAGAAGGAATAAAGAACACAGTCACAGTAAATCCATGATGGAAGGCAGAGGGAAGATAAAAGCAAAATAAGCCAACTGTGTCAACTGCTTCCATCCAAGCATGCCTGAAATTTACACCACTATTTGGAGTCCTTTAGCACTGATTAAGCATGACCACAGGCAGAGTGCAAAAGTCCTTGATTTCAGTAACATTTTTTCTTTGTGCGGCAGAGAGAAGTTAGAGCGCAAGAGAAGGCTGAGAGTCTTACATGCAGCAGACATGACTGAAAAAGCAGCATGTCTAAAAGGAAATGGTCTATGCAAGGAATGCTAAATTTGCAGCTGCTATGGGTCACCTCTCCAGAAATAGGCAAGATCCAAGACACAGCTAAAACTCAAACTATACTCCACTCTGCTTAAGAACCTCATTGCCAAGTGTTACCTGCTTGCATGCCTGTCGACATTCCAAGGTAATAGCCAGTTCACAGCAGCCTAAGCCAACCCAGCCATCAGACTTCTTAAACACACCTTAAAAACAAAATGTTCAAATGTTTTGGTCATAAGAAGTGACAAAACAAACTGGTTCAAGGATACCACTCAAGTCAAAGCAAGTTTCCGTAAGAAAACTAGCTTAGAGAGCAGGGGCTCCGAGGCATGAAGCCACTACTCCCAGCCTGACTCTCAACGCTATCAGTCTTCTCAGGGTCTCTGTAACCTAATTACCAGGTCCTTTGTCTTTTCCCTCTTCTTCCTGCTCACCTTAAATTCTCTTTAGCTCATTCTCACTCTAAGGTAGACAGAATCTCTAGAAGACACGGGTTAAGGAAAGCAATGACTTCTTTCACCTCTGGACTGTGAACCAGAGGCAGGACTCCTATTAATAACTTAGTAAGCAAGCAAACAAAATAGGGCCTGAGTATTATTGTATCAAAATACCTAGAAGAGCATAAACCCCACGAGGCTGTTTACGATGCTGTTTAACAACTGATCCTCAGGAAACAGACAGGAGCATCTCCTGTGAGCCATGACTGATCTTGATAGGTACACTTTACTGTGGGGCAAAAGGACTAAACTGATGCAATTTATGCACAGTAGCTATTTCTCCAAGCAAATTACAGTGATACCAAAAGGTGGTAAACTATAAAAGGAGTTCTAATGCAATTTTAAGATCCCTTTTTGCAATCATAAATGTCAATGAATAACTCCTAGATAAAATTAGGAGATATAAGTAATTATGATCAAAGAAAAGATTTACTTGTAGGAATGCTGTAAATTCCTTATCTCTTTTGAGAAATGCTTTATGCTGCTTCCATGTAATACACAGATCTGCAAATTCACATGTACATTAAATTATTTCCATTTGAAAAAAATGTCAGGGATTCAAGGCAATAGGTAACAGTTCTCTACACGAAACTAAGACCTAATATAAAAAACAGAAGCATTCCACTAAAAAAAAAACAAACAAAAACACACAAGTGGCCCATGGACAGACAAAGCTCTCAAAATAAAATCATAAACCATCCCAACTGTTAAAACTGGCTAAGAAAGCCGCATATCGTTAAGATTCTATATCCCTATATGTTTAAATGGTATTAAAGGGCAGCAGACTCCCATCTAGTCCCACTACCTGGTATAGCTTCCTCTTGATCTCTGCTGCTTGCTACTCAGAACCGTACATATTCTATACAGAATTTTGAATGGAATCAATGTAGGTCATAAACTGTGAACTTTTATACCATAATGTAGTATACTGCTATTTTCACATATCCAGTACTTTTTGTGTGTTAGTCACTTAGCTATGTCTGACTCTTTGCAATTCCATGGATTGAAGTCCTCCAGGCTCCTCTGTCCATGGAATTCTCCAGGCATGGATACTGGAGTGGGTTGCCATTCCCTTCTCCAGGGATCTTCCCAATCCAGAGATCGACCCTGGGTCTCCCATATTGCAGATTCTTTACCGACTGAGCCACAAAAGGAGCTCTTACCTCTTAGAAAACATTAAATTATTCAACAAGCAACTACATTCACTGAGCCCTTACTATATACAAAGTCCTTTATCAGGTATTTTGTGGGCTAATAGATAAAAATATGATTTATCTCTTTATGGAGATTACAGTTTGATAGGAACAGTACACACACACATATAATTACAAACACTAGGTAGAGGGATAATTAGGAGAACAAGCAAGGATGAGAGCAATTCCAGGGGGGAAATAGTTCAATTTGTTTGAAATGAAAACTTTCAACAGTATGAAAACCTTTAGCATTCAGAGAAATGTAAGCTATACTCCCTTTTTTCAAGGCACTGGGTTTAACCAGGACTGGAAAACGAGCTCTAATTCTAGGAGACTGGGAATGCCAGACAGGGAGTTTGGGCTTTATCCCGATTTAAGCGGGTGGCCCCTGAGGGAGCTTTTTTGAAGAGGGTGGGAAGGACAGCTATGGTCTGTTGAAACACGAGTTATGAGGTCACTGCAATAATCTACCCCAAGAGTGTAATAATAAAGGCTTGAACTAGGAATAGCAAGGATGGATGCAAGATTTTACAAGGGGGTAAATGAAGCTAAAAAGAAAAAACATTCAGAGATAATGACTTGAAGGTTTCCAGTCTGGTGTCATGCATAACAAAAAGCAATTATAAGATGAGTTTGGTTTTGAGTCATGCTACTTGGATGCAGAGATCCAAGTAGAGAAGACTAGAAGTCATGAATAATGACTTGGATTTGAAAACTATCTTCTCAGAGCTGATTAGATAACAGCTCTGGGAAGGAATGTGGTTACCACGGTGAGTGTGGAGAAAGAAGGGAAGAGGACCACACATAGGAATAGCCATGGTAGTTACAGGGGTGATGGTGTATGTGTGTGTGGGGGGGGCGGGGTGGGGATAAGACAGGACAAAGTCACAAGGCCAGGGTGAAGTCACAAGGAAGTAGTGGTCAATGTATCAACTGTCACATGGAAGTCAAAAAGAACGAGTACTGAGGAACAGCTGTAAGATCGAGGAACCAAGAGATCTTGGTGATCTTTCAAAGCCCAGTTTCAAGAGAACAGTTGAAGCGGAAACAAGAGTACCATAAATGACTGAGTAAATGAGAATAAATTATACATTTGAAAATTTGGATGCCTCCAGGAGGGACAGGATAGAAATCCAAGGATATGTATTAGGTTACAGGGCTATGACACAGATTTTACAATCACAAAATAAGTTTTAATGTTACACTATTACTTACCTGGCAAAGATGAATTCATACAACTCCAAATGTCAACCTAAAATTGTAATCACCAAAAGACTTTTATGTAGAAAACCAGTTTCAAAATACAACTTCTACAGAAATTACATATAGCTAATTTGATTATGTCTGTCTCCATACAATCAATGATCTAGAAGCATCAACCAGCTATTTGGGGAAGAAAAACAGAAATGAGATGTAAAAATACTGCTTGCTGTTTTCTCAACTTCCCATCTGGGATACTAAAGACAAGTATGGTTACTCAGGATGTTTACTGGAATAACTGTTTCCAAGCACAGAGATAAAAGTGCCTGTTGAGTGACTAAAGTAAAATATGTCAGTCAGAACTGTTTGATCATAAACTTTCCCATTTAACCCAACCTACCTTATCTAAACAGGCTTTCTCATGCCAGTTCAGACTTTCTTAGCTTAGCCATGAGCATCCCAAACAAGGGATGATCCATGCATTAGAGACATTTTAAGTTACATGATTCAGACAGGCATGCAATGTATCTATAGTACACCAGAAAATGAGAAGACAGAAGTAATGAGAAATTACATTTTCCCTTACCCTAAATCTGACTTTTTAAAAATTAAAATAAATATAAGATTTAGCTATGGTTTTCATAAAATTGTCAAAATATAATAAGTAAAATTCTCAATTTCAGATAAACTATTATTATGAAATTTAAAGACTAGAACATATTTTTATATAATACTGTTTTTATACCTACATCATAAACAACAAAAGATGAAAGACAATATTCCATCTAGCAATTTGTATGAAGATCTTTTTAAAATATCCAGTTAAATCTAACATTTTACTTTGACCACAAACCCCAATCACTCTGAAAAATTTGCTAAATCAAAAGTAACTCAATAGAGTGCTTCATTAAGACAAAAACTTCCATAGTTAAGTTAAACAATACCTACCATTGTTTCAGGGCAATAATCTGGGGCTCGCTGCAACAGATGTTTTAGTCGTGATTCACTTTTTGAGGAAAATATCTACTTGACAAAAGCAAAAAAAAGTTTTAAGGCATTTTTCCAATAAGAAAATGGAAGAGGTAAATTTTTTTATCCTCTAGGTTTATCAGTTGTCTAGAATATTTTTCAATTTCCCTTCATAAATGTGCTTTATTATAAAACATCAGTCCTGACTTCTTATATAAATTCAAATTCAAAAAGTTTTAATTTCAAATCTCCAACTGCCTTCACACAGTGGTTTTCACTGATAATTCAGCAACCTACCCCACTAACTTCCTAACTTCCTACAGCCATCAAGTGCATTAGTATTCACTCCAAATCAAAACCTAACTATCAGTAGAATACCCTCTCCTCATTCCTCACTGGTTGAAGAATTAAAGATTCCTTATTCCTGGCAGTTCTTCTCACTGTCAGTGAGCTCTGCCGGTTTCGGCATCCTAGCCTCTCACTCCTCTGGTGATTGGGATGACTGACTTACCTGATTGTTGAGTTTGACCAGGGAAAGTGAATCCTATTCTTACCTCTCTTCCTCTGCAAGTAAGTCTATCTGGAGTTTAGTGCATACTTGGAGATAAATGCTATCTACATTCAGCATTTGTGTAACTAGAAATAAAGTAATTTGGTCAGGGAAGAACTTGGTCAGGGAAGAATTTTTTTTATTAGGATGACTATAGTATTCACTTACTTTGCTACATTATAGAATTTTAAACACTTTAGATTTTAAGAAATTAGTCCTTGCCTGTTGTGAGTACCTCATAAAAATAATTTACCCTATGGAACATTAGTGGAAAAAACAAGAGGAAATAAGGCAAAAAGTCAGAAAAGGAGTGCTTCCAAAAGCAGGAGAGTTACTTTAAAAGCTCTCTTATGGTGACACTATCAAGAGGCCATTTTTGCTTTTAAAAAGCTATTGCTCTGGCAGTAAATTTGCAGAAAACTTAATCTACTATAGTGTTTTGACATGAATTCTCTAGCAGCTATTTAGGTAAGACATCTTGTTATACTTAGAGTATCTTGAAAAACCTTTTTAATCCCTGTTAGGTAGTGCTCTCATTTTTAGGAAGTAACAAAATCCAGGTTATTACTTGAAACTCCTCAAAATATGATTGAGGTCATTAATTCTCAACGGGTAAGGCTACAACTACACAATCAAGATGATGAAAGAAAGTAAGACATTGTGAACAGCTATTGTCTCAGTGGAATTTGCCTTAAAAAGGTTCAAGCAGAACTACAGAAAAGTTTCAAAGTTAGGAAATCAGTCCTGAATATTCATTGGAAGGACTGATGCTGAAACTCTGAATACTTTGACCGCCTGATGCAAAGAACTGACTCATCTAAAAGATCCTGATGCTGGGAAAGACTGATGGCAGGAGGAAAACAGGACAACAGAGGATGAGATGGTTGGATGGCATCACCGACTCAGTGGACATGAGTTTGAGTAAACTCCGGGAGTTGGTGATGGACAGGGAGGCCTGGTGTGCTGCAGTCCATGGGGTCGCAAAGAGTCGGACACGACTGAGCGACTGAACTGAGTACAATGAGCACCCACATAAGCCTTCATCTAAATTCACCCATTATTAACATTTGCTTTAACTTTCTCTACATATGCACATTATTTTTATTACTTGATGAAATGTTTAGAATTCATTATAGACATGATCATTCATTTCTAAATTCCAGCATGTATCTTCTAAGAATAAGGACACCATTCTAACTAACCACAATACAATCATCAGATTCAGTTCGCAGCACTGGTAGGTATAATATTATTATAGCTCATGTTTAAATGTCACAATAATTTATCTCAATCACATGCTCTATAGCAGTCTTTTTTTTTTTAATTCCAGGACCCAATACAAAATTATGCACTGCATTCAGTTGTCTTGCCTCTTTAGTTTCCTTTAATCTGGAAGTTTCCTGTATGTTCTCTGAGGCCTCAGAAACTGCAGCCCGCCAGGCCCCTCTGTCCACAGGATTCTCCAGGCAAGAATGCGGGAGCGCACTGCCTTTTCCTACTCCAGGGGGTCTTCCTGACCCAGGGATCAAACCCATCTCTCTTGTGTCTCCTGTATTAGCAGGCAGTTCTTTACCACTAGCACCACCTAGGAATTCCTGGGATGTTTCCTGACCTCTGTTTTTATAGCACTGATATCTCTAAAGGGTACAGGCGGTTGTTTTGAGGAATATTCCTCAATCTGGGTTTGCCATATTGTTTCCTCAGGATCCAGATTATGTATTTTGGGTAGGAATCCCACCTCAGATATTGTGCTCCACTATGTTCGCAGACTCATGTTAAGTTGTTCCATTACTGCTGATGTGAACTGACCATTTAGGTGCTGTCCAACAGATTTCTCTAAAACAATTACACTAAATAATATCCTCTATAATTATTAAGCAAGCTTACCTGTTCACAAACATCACGGCACATCTGGTTATCCTTTGAATGATTACAACACAGTGCACCTAGGGAGAAAGAATAAACACCCAATATTGCCCACTGTTAAAACAACGATTAAGCTAAGTTGGATGGTTACACAAACCGCTTATTTGACAGATTATTACTATCATTATCCATTTTAACTCAACAAACCTTTGTTGTGTACCTATTTCAAGTCAAAGATGGTGCTATTTGAGGACATGATTTCTGCCTTTAAGAAGCGTGCAACCTAACAGGGGAGACTGTCATCTAATAATAATCGCTACTATGTACTGTGCGCTTTTCATGTGCCATAATTTTACTACTTGCTTTATGATTATCTCATTCAACCCTCAACAATTATCCTATGGACTATATTCTATTATTATACCTATAAAGGGAGGTTAAATGATAAAAAGATAGTGAATTCTGTTTTGGACATGTTAAATGTAAGTTTCCATTATCTCAGCGAAATAAGTAGAGATTAGGTTTGAAAACAAAAAGAGTTGAGGGCTTGAGGTGAGGTTGTATATGTCTCTGAATAGCCACTGTGGAGAACAAAGGAAGCAACTGTAAGTGTTTCTCAAATGTTTTTCTATGAAACACTGTTTCATGATGTGTTAATATCTATTCCTCAAGAGAAAATGTTTCATGTTCAAATAAATTAGGAAACAAAGGATTAAAAAGTTAAAGAGAATTTTTATTTATTTATTTATTTAATTTTTTTAAAGAGAATTTTTAAAAAATTATTTTATTTTATGTTTCTCCTCTGGAGAAGGGAATGGTAACTCACTCCAGTATTCTTGTCTGGAGAATCCCACGGACAGAGGAGCCTGGCAGGGCTACAGTCTATGGGGTCCCAAAGAGTCAGAGAGGACTGAGCGACTACACCTTAATACCATTTTTAATTTACTTTTTTAACACCAAAAACATTTTGCATTGGGGTATAGCTGATCTTAAATTCTTAAGATTTTGAGAAATTTCTTTCTCAAATCTGAGAAAATTCTTAAAGACATGGGAATACCTGACCTGACTCCTGAGAAATTTGTATGCAGGTCAAGAAGCAACAGTTAGAACTGGACATGGAACAACAAACTGGTTCCAAATAGGGAAAGGAGTATGTCAAGACTGTATATTGTCACCCTGCTTATTTAACTTATATGCAGAGTACATCATGCAAAGTGCTGGGCTGGATGAAGCACAAGCTGGAATCAAGATTGCTGGGAAAAATCTCAATAGTCTTAGATATGCAGATGACACCATCCTTATGGCAGAAAGCAAAGGAGAACTAAATAGCCTCTTGATGAAAGTGAAAGAGGAGAGTGAAAAAGTTGGCTTAAAACTCAACATTCAGAAAACTAAGATCATGGCATCCGATCCCATCAATTCATGGCAAATAGATGGGGAAACAATGGAAGCAGTGACAGACTTTATTTTTGGGGGCTCCAAAATCACTGCAAATGGTGACTGCAGCCATGAAATTAAAAGATGCTTGCTCCTTGGCAGAAAAGCTATGACCAACCTAGACAGCACATTAAAAAGCAGAGATGTTACTTTGCTGACAAAGGTCTGTCTAGTCAAAGCTATGGTTTTTCCAGTAGTCATGTATGGATTTGAGAATTGGACTATAAAGAAAGCTGAGCACTGAAGAATTGATGCTTTTGAACTGTGGTGTTGGAAAAGACTGAGAGTCCCTTAGGACTGCAAGGAGATCAAACCAGTCAATTCTAAATGAAATCAACCATGAATATTCATTGGAAGGACTGATGCTGAAGCTGAAAATCCTATACTTTGGCCACCTGATGCGAAGAACTGACTCACTGAAAAAGACCCTTATGCTGGGAAAGATTGAAGACAGGAGGAGAAGAGGACAACAGAGGACGAGATGGTTGGATGGCATCACCGATTCAATGGACATGAGTCTGAGTAAGCTCTGGGAGTTGGTGATGGACAGGGGAGCCTGGCGTGCTGCAGTCCATGGAGTCACAAAGAATTGGACATGACTGAGCGACTGAACTGAACTGAACAGCCAATCAATAATGTTGTGACAGTTTCAGGTGAACAGCGAAGGGACTCAGTCATATACATACACATATCCATTCTCTCCCAAACCCGCTCCCATCCACGCTGGCACAGAACACTGGGCAGAGTTCCATGTGCTATACAATTGGTTTTTGTTGGTTATCCATTTTAAATATAGCAGGGTGTACATAACTTCCCGAAGTCCTTAACTATTCCTTCACACAACCCCCAACCATAAGTTCGTTTTCTAAGTCTATGAGTCTCTGTTTTGTAAGTAAATTCATCTGTATCATTTCTTTTTAGATTCCACATATAAGGGATGTCATATATTTCTCCTTCTCTGTGAGTCTCTGTTTTGTAAGTAAATTCATTTGTATCATTTCTTTTTAGATTCCACATATAAGGGATGTCATGTATTTCTCCTTCTCTGACTTATTTCACTCGTATGACACTCTCTAGGTCTACCCATGTTGCTGCAAATGGCCTTATTTCATTCTTCTTAATAGCTGAATAATATTCCTTTGTAGACATATATGCGCATGCGCACGTGTGTGTATATAGATATATGTATACACCACATCTTCTTTATCCATTCCTCTGTCAATGGACATTTAAGCTCTTCCCATGTCTTGTAAACAGTGCTGCCTTGAACACTGGGGTGCATGTATCTTTTCAGGCCATGTTTTTCTCTGGATACATGTCCCTGAGTGGGATTGCAGAGTGATATGATAGCTCTTGTTTTAGTTTTTTAAGGAACCCCCATACTGTTCTCCACAAGTGGCTGTACCAACTTACATTCCCACCAACAGTAGCAAGAGGGTTCCCTTTAAAGAAAATTCTTTATGGGACTTTATGAAGCCTTTAATATATTAATATTCATCATTAACTCCTAAAAGGGATCTAAGCTTCTCAGAGCACAAGATATTTTTCTCATGCCACTTATTTTACATCTCAGCATGCCAATTTGAGAAACATCACAGAAAAGGAAAAATGTTGCCAAGCAGCATTATGGGCCCAGAAAAATTAATAAATTAGTGATATAGATAATCAGCAGGGGCATGTCATTATTCTACACTGAAGCTAACTGGAAAAAAGATAAAGCTGAATTGATCAAGGGCTGTTTAGAGAGTGCCAAATCAAAAGTGACAGGGACATGAAAAGATTGCATTTCAGGCAGCTAGATCCAATACAATGCCTACATATGTGTGTGCGTGTACATATACACACGCACACATATATCAATCTCTTTAAATGAAATCTATATAATTTCAGTATACAAAATAGGTGACAGCAGAGCTTTTTTGATTGAAGGTAAGATTGGTATTGGGAATAAATGAATGAATAAAAAAGGTTCTCTTTAGCTCCTACCAACATCCTTTTAAGCTCAAAACTGATATTGTTAATCCATAAAATAACAGGGCATATGATATTACTAACATATTGCTACAGTTTAGTTTCATAAAACACTATCGTGGGGCAGGCTTTCTAATGCTATATGGAAAAGGGTGTCTTAAAGTTTTAACATTTGACTTAAAAATTCTGAAAAATAGCATTGAAACAAGTATACTATCAAGAGTGAAACAGATCACCAGCCCAGGTTGGATGCATGAGACAAGTGCTCAGGGGTGGTGCACTGGGAAGACCCAGAGGGATGGGATGGAGAGGGAGGTGGGAGGGGGGATCAGGAAGGGGAACACATGTAAATCCATGGCTGATTCATGTCAATGTATGGCAAAACCCATTACAATATTGTAAGGTAATTAGCCTTCAACTAATAAAAATAAATGGGGAAAAAAAAATTCTGAAAAAGTGAAAGTGAAGTCGCTCAGTCGTATCTGACTCTTTGCAACCCTATGGACTTTTGCCCATCAGGCTCCTCCATCCATGGGATTTTCCAGGCAAGAATACTGGAGTGAGTTGCCATTTTCAGCATATAGAAATTCCATGAAGTTTCAGAAATTAAAAAAATTCCTTGTTTATAGGCTGTAGCTACCTTCTTAGAAGCACTGAATTCAAGGATGGGCCCAATCACTAATAAGACTTTCTCACGACACCCCTCTCTTCTCTGCCATGCCACACCATGCTGGATCCCCTCTCCTAAGATCCTGTTGTGTCCCCAGCCTCTTTAGAATGAAGACAGGCAGGAATTGAAAGGTGGGGGCGGGGATCTTCTCTGTGATATCAAGATGGGATCTTTTGAAGTGCTCAAGTTGTCGCCACTTTCTACTATCTTCCAACACAAAGGTCACATGACGGCAGAAAATCCAGCTGAAGGAGAGCAAAGATAACTCAGGATAATACATGATCCCCATAAGCACAGGCTTAGCAAAAAGTAAACAGGCAGGCAAGAGTCTGACTTGGGCCTAGGAATTTTTGGAAAAAAAGTTTCTTGGAGCAAAGGTCCATTTAGAGCAGAAATATGAAATATGTCACAATTAAAACTCCAATAACAATGAAAGATTTGTTCAAAATATAAAGGTTAATTTTTTCCTATTTAATGGTGAAGGTCAAATTTATAGTGGGCTGACCCCCAAAGTTAAATTTTTAAAATGATTCACTTTTTCATTAAGAAATCCCAAAATCAGGAGAAGAAGAAAAATGATCTAATATTCCCACTGTCCTGTCAGAACATGTGTTTACATATTTCTTTCTAGTCTTTCCAAAAGCTTTCTGAAATTTCTGACCGAATGGGATTAGAGAGCAGCCTGAAGTCTTCTCGTAGTAATGCCCTTCCCCCTCCTAACCAAGCATTCCTCTGTAATAATACATTTCCTCTCTTTAGAGGAACTGCCCCCCTCCTAGAACAGGCTAGGGGACCTATACTACATCACGTTTTCCACATTTTATTTTTAACCTTAGTCATCAGTATATTTGTACACATTTTTCCTTCTTTGAAACAGTAAAAACTTACTAGACTCTTATTAAACACTGCATATTTTTAAAGAAATGTCTATAAACAGACATTAACTCATATCCTTTCATTAAGAATGAGGGCAAAGGATTCAAATGCAATTAATGTGGCAAT